GAATTAGGCTAAGTTAAGGGTATCCCTTAGGGGCTGATGGAATGGAGGTTTGGGGCAGGAAGATGAGCAGCTGCAGGGCCCCTCCTGTGTGACCACTGTGCTGCCAACAATGAGATTGTAACCATGGGATGCGGTGGTTCCCTCTGAGCCTTTCATCTTAACACTGTTTATAACCCTTTGCACATTTTCAGAAAAAAACAAACAGTAAGATCTGTTGAATTATGATCATCTTGAATAATTGAAATGGTCCATCAGAATGTTGATGATATAAAGCATGCATGAGAATAATTCCTCCTTCTCTCTTTCTCTTTCAACCCAATGCTCATGGGGTCTCATATCTGTGTGACCTGTTGTGTGGTCTGCCTTCTTCTTGCCCATACATGTGACGAGCAGCTGACAGAAAAGGTAACTGTTGTATATACTGTACTAGAGTTAAGATTCCTATATTTTCTGCCTATAGCTAATATATAAAGAAAATATTTTTAAATGCAGGGTAGGTTACTGACCCCGAATGGGGAAATAACTGTGTGTGTGTGTGTGTGTGAGTGTGTGTGTGAGTGTGTGTGTGTGTGTGTACGTACATATACACAACACAGATAAAAAGTAGCTTTTCTCGAGTGTTCCTTCTTCTTTCCCCCAAGACTGCATAGGAAACTATGCTGCAGGTGACACTGTATTTAGGAGACACTCACCACTCTTTCGTAGGTAGATTAAAATAAGCAATTGGTGGGCGTGATGAGGATCTGTTTGTTATAAATCTAAGAATTACAGCAGCTTCTATAAACTATAGCCTTTGGCAGTTTGAAAATGTTCCACAGATGACTCTGATGTGCTGTTTCTTTTGCCCAATTAAGAGCCACCCAGCTAAACCACACTGGCTGTGCATTGGAGTCGCCTGGGGACCTAGGAAGATCCTGGATACCCAGGTCTCTCCCAGGCTGACTGAGTCACAATCTCCAAGGATAGGCTGGGAGCCCCTGGTCTAAATGAACCATAGCACCTTCCTACTTTTGTTTTGCATTTTATCACTTGCAAAGCTCTTTCTCCTAATGACCTTATTTACAAAAATAATGATTTTATTTACCTCTGAAGATGGAGACAGGTAGTGTTATTATCCCAGTCAGTGGATGAAGAAACTGATTCTCAGAGACATTAAAGGATGTGCTCAAGCTGGTATGGATTATAAGGATATGACTTACAATGTAAAGGATGGAACTTGAATTAGAACCAATTTTTCCAACTCTTAGATTAGTGAGCTTTGTTTTCCAAGGCATTGCCAACTAAAGGGACTAAGGAAATGAAATAGCAGAAAACCTATTTTGAAGGTTTTCTTTTCATCTATTATCTGTATATGCAACTATCAAGTCAAGACGATAAAAAAGTAAAAACAGACAAATGAATTGATTGCATCCATAGGATGTAAGAAAATCATCTATATAGCTGTGGGCAGTAATGCCAAACACATTTTATTGGCCAAGGATCGTTTCACCTCCAGCTTCTAGAAGAGTCGTGAATTCTTTGTCTATTGGACATGTAAACAGAAGTCATGTAATCTTGCCTGTTTCGGGTTCAGAAGTGCCTATTTCTATTGCCTATTACGTATGAGTTTTCCTGCATTGATTGGAAATCTTGGTCATCACTAAAGATTTTTCCTTCTTGACATGTCTTTCTTCAGGAGGAAGAAATCGTTGACTGGTGGAGTAAATTTTACGCTTCCACAGGGGAACATGAGAAATGTGGACAATACATTCAGAAAGGCTATTCCAAACTCAAGGTACCTGGGCCTGTGCTGCTGGGGTGGGGAACAACAGTCGCTAAAATTGGCCACAGGCGTAGCTAAGCAGAAGACAGAAAGGTCTAAGGGCGCGTGCTGACCGGGAGTGGCCAGGAGCACCTCTGGCCTCCTGTTGATGGGTTTTGGCTTTGCCAAGACACCAGGGGCTTGAGGACAGCTGTTGATCTGTGTTTACGTGACTGCCACTTTGGGGCATCTGGCAGAGGATTGGGAATGGGTTGGCTCCACACTAATTAGGTCAACAGTTGTCCGCTTTGACCCACAGGGACCTAAAAGTCACAGTCACAGGAACCGCATGAAATGTCAACATGCTTCATTCAGTCCTGCATACAATCATCTGCTTCACTAGCTAATAAGTTGACTCAGTTACACGTATGCAGCATACAGTCACAACCATGGGCATGTGTGTCCAGGGGGAAGAAGACAGGCTCTTCAGCTGACTATCCATGATCTTCCTGCTAATGTTCGGGTTTTCCAATCCTTCATTCAATTTTTCAGATTGTAATACACTCAAGTAGAAGCCAATGGGAAAGTTTTCAAAACAATACATAGGAGAAAGAAACTCTAAAATGAGAAATGATGTATTTCCCCATCAAAGTGGAAAAGCCCACATCCTTTCATGTTATTGTTATAACAGCTCAATGCAGCTTAAGAAATACTGGCATGTAAAGAAGCACTAATTTAGAAAAATGATCAGACTGGTCTGACCGATCAGTCCCACGGTCCATCCTTTTTCCCTCCTTCATTCTTTCCTTCCCTCCTCCCCTTCTTTCTTCCCTCTTCCTCATCCTTTCTCCTCATCCTCCTTCTCTTCTAGTTTTTTTTGTGTGTGTGTGTGTTTTTGTCAAGGTATAATTTACATACATAAAGTAATCCATTCCATGAGTTTGGGTCATTCTATACCAGCCGTGGGCAAACTATGGCCCGCAGGCCGTATCAGGCCCGTTTGAAATGAATAAAACTAAAAAGAAAAAAAAAAAAAAGACCATACCCTTTTATGTAATGATGTTTACTTTGAATTTATATTAGTTCACACAAACACTCCATCCATGCTTTTGTTCCGGCCCTCCGGTCCAGTTTAAGAGCCCATTGTGGCCCTCGAGTCAAAAAGTTTGCCCACCCCTGTTCTATACTCTTGTGTAAACCACCACCAAAACAAGGCAAAGAACATTCCCATCAACATGGAAAACTCCTTTGTACCCCTTTCAGTCAATTCCCCACAACCTTTCCTCACTCCCAGAGACAACAGATGTGATTTCATCACCAGAGATTGATTTGGCCTGTTTTTCTGCTTCATGTAAATGGATGCATACAGTATGTATTTTGTGTGTGGCTTCTTTAGCCCAACGTAGTAGCTTTGGGATCCATCATGCTGTTGTGTGTGCAGTTAGTTTGTCCCTTTTTATCCTTGTCTGGATGGCCATGATTTGTTTATCCAAATTGAGGAACCTGATGATGAGGCTGCTATGGGTATTCTTGTACCATGTAGACTTGTTTTTACTTCTCTTGATTAAGTACCTAGGATTGCAGTGTCTGCATTATAGAGTAGGTGGCTGTTTAACCCCATAAGAACCTGGCAGACCTTTTTCCAAAGGGGTTGTGCCTTTCTACACTCCTGCCAGGATTCTGAGGCTTCCCATTGCTCCATCTCCATCCTCATGCCCATTTGGTATTATCAGCCTTTTTTTTTTTTATTGTTTTATACTCCACGTGTATTTTAATGAGAAGTTAAGACTCTGTTGATGGTTTTCAGATATATGACTGTGAACTAGAGGATGTGGCAGAATTTGAGGGCCTGACAGACTTCTCAAATACTTTCAAGCTGTATCGAGGCAAATCAGATGAGAATGAAGACCCTTCTGTGGTAGGAGAGTTTAAGGTGAGTACAAGGTGTGTTCGTCCCGTGTAAAATCCACCTCTATTTTCTTTATAGGCCGAGGATAAAGGACAGCCCGCCTCCAGACAGGGTCATGTCCTCTGACATCTGAAAGATGCTAGGAGGCACTAACTAGGAAAAAGGCAATGGCGACCGGGAACAGAACACTCAAAGCCATTCTCAGTCTCTCTCTTCCTCCTCATGCCAAGCAGCCTGGAATCCTTTAGATTCAGCCTCTCCAAGATCCAGGGCCCCTCCCCATGCCCACCACCCCTCCCAACCTTTCTCGTCCCACTCCAGCCCATTCCCTAGGACAACCAAACCTGATCATGCTTCTTGACTGCTTAGAGATAGCGTTTGGGTTTCCACGCGATCAAGTCTCAACTCCTTCCTGAGGTGGAGCCAGCGTTTCACAAGCGACTTAGCCACTTGTCTCCCCCATCCCGTGAGGACCCCTCCCAAGCCCCAAACACACCTTGTCCTTTCACAACTCGGAGACTTGGGCCAGGCTCCCTTCCTTCCCTGGATGCCCTCCCTTCCCTCTTTGTGGTCTGACAAACTCCTACTCCTTCTTTTAAGCCAGCTCAAATGTCACGTTCTTTGTGAAGTGTTCCCTGATCGCTTCTGGCAGTGACTCACTGCTGCTCCAGGCTTCCACAGGCCTGGGCTCCTGCCCCTATTAAAGCACCTTTCACTTGCAAGTATCTGCTTTCGTGACTGCTCCTCCCTCCAACCGTTGTTGGCAAATTCTTGGCAGCTGTGCCATAGCTTCCCAGTCCTTCCCAGTAGCAGACATTGCCAGTCCATCAGAGCACTGAACCCTGCACATGGCCTCAAAGTCCTCATTACAGCGTCCCACCGAGCAATCAGAGATGGCACGAGGGTCAGACCTATAGAGCATCCCCGTGCCACACTGGGCTTCTTGAGGTTATGTTTGGGTCCCCAGCACATGGCACATATTAGGTGCTAACTTCATGCTGCTTGGCGGAGTGAGTGTAGCTGGCACTAGAATCCATGTGTTCTGAATCCAACTTTAGTGTTTTCTCTTGTGCTTAAGCTGGTTTCTGGATAAAAATATATGGCCTCTTAAGCAGGCCTGATAGCTCACTCATTCAAAACACATTCTTTGTGCCGCTGCTATACACCCAGCCCTGTGTTAGGTCCTGGAGAGTATAATGTGACAGTGGAGAATATAGACAATAAATAGACAATTACAACACAGGAGTCAGCGCTGAGACAGGAGTGAGTGCAGAGTTGGATGAGAGCATGCAGGAGACACACCGGGCCCTGGGCAGTCAGGGAGGTTTCCTGGAAGAGGGGACACCTTCAGCAGAGACCCGAGGGATGAACAGGAGTTTGCCTTGGAGTGGGAGAGGGTTTACGGGGTGACCCAGGAAAAGGGAAATTACTCTAGTACTCTAGTGGGGGTTTAAAACAATTTCGTCATTCCTTCCTGCAAATATGTGCAGAGTCTCACTTCTCACCACCTTCTTTGCCATCATACTGGTCCAAACCACCTCCAACTTTTGCCCGGTCTCCCTGCTTCTGCCCTGCCCTTCTCCCCATGACCTATTAAATAAATACTTTACCATTATTTCACTTCCCCTACAGGAAGAATGTAAAGTTCAATACATGTTGTCTTTTTCACAAAAGGCAACCCTTCCTCACCTAGTGCACACCCCTGTGGCTGTCCTGGAGTGCCCTGGGCGGGAGGGCACTGCCCAGGCGCCCTCTGCCCAGGTCACCCCGGGCCCTGTGAGTCCACCTGTGTGTCTCTCTCTAGGGCTCCTTTAGAATCTACCCGCTGCCGGATGACCCCAGTGTGCCGCCCCCTCCCAGGCAGTTTCGGGAATTACCTGACAGCGTCCCACAGGAATGCACGGTTCGGATTTACATTGTTCGAGGCTTAGAGCTCCAGCCCCAGGACAACAATGGCCTGGTAAGAGTTTGGGTGTGGGGCCTTCTGCTGTAGCAAGATAATTACAGTCATCAACCACCGTAATTGTCATGTTCTTTCTTTTGGGGCACCTGTTATCTCATTGGGGGAGAGATACTCCATTAAACAAGGCATTCAAGAGGGGCATTTATCTAAGAGCTGGAGAGGCTTGGATCGGTCTGGTTCATCCTCATTTTACAGATGTGACCTGAGGAGACCAGGAGACGTGCTCTGTCACTCCTCCCTGCCACCGCCTCGGCCCCCACACGCCTTCCCTGAAGGCGCTGGCCGTGTGCCACGTGGGGAAGCCTTGCTCAGACCTTGTCTGAGGCGCGCAGGGCCACGGCCTTTGAGAGTGGCTGTGGAGGCCCACCTGCATCTGTCCCAGAAAGTGATGGTACCCCACGGTGACATCACCTGCCATCTGTTTTGTCCTCACAGTGTGACCCGTATATAAAAATAACGCTGGGCAAAAAAGTAATCGAAGATCGGGACCACTACATACCCAACACCCTCAACCCGGTTTTCGGCAGGTAAGGTGCCCGTCTACACGTTTTCCAGTCCTTCATTTCTTCATGGCATGCAAATGAAGAATGATACATGTGCCAAAGTCTGTTCTAGGCTCTGAACCTGGGGCCATGAACTGGACAAATATTCAAACAATAGTGCGGGGAAGGCCTGGGGAGGGGCAGGGGCAGAGTGGAGGGTGTCAACGGGGGAAAGAGGGGGGGGACATCTGTAATACTTTCAACAATAAACTTTTCAAAATTCCAGTCTTTAGAGCAGGCAATAAATATGAAAATGCACAAGTAAAAGAATTTCATGGGAGTAAAAAGTGTCATAAAGAAAATAACCAAGTCATGAGATGGGCTCTTCTGGGAGAGATTTGCTCTGAGACCTGGGGCGGTGGGGCGGGGATGGGGAAGGGTGGCCCAAGGCCTGGGAGGCCGCTGTGTCTGTGGGTTCTAGACAAGAAGGGTAGGCAGGGTAACTGGTGACTTACCTGCGGTGACAATGTGGTTCTCCCTCCCTGAATCCAGCCTGGGCTCTGTTTTCTGGGACGTTCAAGTTCCATTATGATCCAGCGAATATACACATTATTGGCTGTTATCAAGACTGAGGAGGGGGCAGAAAGTGATGGGGTCAAAATGTCCTGCCCCCTCTTCCTTCATTTCCCAAAGATTCTTGAAATAGCATTATTTTCGTCATTGTGGCCACTTAGACTTGTTTCTGGGCGGTGCCATTGCTCTCATCAGAACTCCTCAAGGGTAAGACAAACCCAAGTGACCTCTAACTAGGACCAGCATTTTTCAGTTATAAATTGCGTGCACACTTAACAATCGCTATTATTAGCTAAGCTTTTACTGTGGGCAGGCGCTATGCTGAGCTGTTTTTTATAAAACATCTCAAAAATTTAACAGCCCATAGGCGCCATTTACCCCCATTTTAAACAGAGGAAACTAAGGCACAGAGGAAACCAGGGCCTAAAGTGCCAGCTGGTAAGAGGCAGAGTCAGGAATCCAACCCAGGCCACCTGACCGCAGCGTCGGCACCGTGTCCACACGGCGGAGTTGTGGCCACCGCCGCCTGATTTTCGTCTCCGTGTCAGGGCGGGGACCAGCGGCCCGCTGTACCGGTGAAGGAAAAACCCAGACCTAGTCCATGATGGGGCCAAGATTTAGGTAGAAATTCCTGACTCCAAGCCCCAGATTGTCCCAACACTCCCGGGAATGCTTCATATTCATGGCAGAGCTACCACTTATAGGAAAATGCTCTTCTTGTACAAAACATTTGTGTAAACAGGGTCATTTTCCAAGAACCTTGCCAAGTGGGAGACTACTTTGTTTTCGGCTGACGTGTGGCCTACCTGTTCATGTCTAGCTTTATCATCTTGCCCATCCTCTTCTACTCATGTTTGTTGGTTTCTGACCTTTGGCATTCTTTCTCTCTCTCCTGTGTGTGTGTGCACACACGCGTATACACACACACACACACACACACACACACACACACACACACACACACACACACACACACACACACACACACACACACACACACACACACACACACACACACAAGAAAGTCTTTGTCACTCAAAGCTTCTCTGGTTCACACACACCCTTGTCCCCTCGCTCACACCCCGTCACACCCACACACGGGGGACCTCACACTCACTGGGCGCCGGGGCGCACACACGCGCACACCCTCTGCGCTGCACGCCCCGCGGCCACGTGCTGGGCCAGGGAGTGGAAGTAATCCTCTGGCTCCGCAATATGATCGTTTTCCTTTTCTCCCCCTGATCCAGCCCTGAGGTCTAGACAGGAAAAGGCACGCAGGGCAGGAAGGAGGGCTCCGTGTGAGGGAGACAGGGAAGCGGAGGAAGCCAGCTTTTAAGGGAGAAAGGCGGCCCTGTCTGAATCGCTTGTCTCTGAGGAGCCAAACACAAGCTTAATTAAGTGGCAGGAAAAGTCTTGCTCGGAGCCACCCAGGGAGGAAGTGATGCTGTCGGGCTCTGCTCGGCCAATCCCTGTCTGGCGTCTGTGCAGATCCCCCCCACCCCCCACCTCCACTCCTCCCCCATCCAGCCAGGTGGGGCCAAGGAGACACCGGTTCTGCAGCCCCTCAGGCAGATGTGGTCCCTGGCCTGTCTTAGAGAGTAACTTTCTTCTCAGCAAGACTCTCAGGGACTCTGGGAGAGGAATTCAGGAAGAGACAAAATGCCTGTCCGCAGTCATCATCCAGCATATGCCGACCACACCATGGCCAGCTCACATGCAATGGAATGTCAGTGTCTCCCATAACATCTTAATGGGTGCGGTCTAAGAAAAAAGTACTTCTTCCTCACACCAGGACACTTGGGTTGAGAAGGATAACTGCGGGACTTGTCAGAGCCTTAGTGTGCTCAGAGGAGTGCCATCAGAAGGGGTTCTCATCCTACTTGCCTGTCCCTTGGAATCCAGTATTGGAACCGTGTTGCTATGGGGCACTGGTGTCTACAGTGCTTCCTGGGTGGTCGTGACCCAAGCTCCTTTTCTCCTGTGGCTGCTGCCCCCTATAGGCCCTTTCCTGGCTCCGGTGGCCTAAAGTCTGGGATTTATCCAGGAGACACTCTAGTGGCGGCTTTTCTCCAGAGCCCTACTGGCACACACCCTCTGCTCATATGGATTTTCCTGATCATTCCTGGCTCTTTGGGCAGGAACCAGTCCACACACCAGAGAGCAAGGAGAAGGGAGGAGGTAGGGGGTGGGGGGCGGAGATGGGGATGGGAGAGGCCTCCCACAGTTTTCTGCCATTTCTTGAGCACCTACCAGGAGATCCGTTCCTCTGTGAATGGGGCAAATACGGAACCAAACCCCACCCTTCTGGAGCGTATGCTGTTCGGTTTATCTCATTCTCAGGACCTGCACATTACTCACCTCCCACAGGAAGTGCTGTTTGGTTATTTACCTTTATCTCAGAAGTGTTTGTATTTTAATATGGATGCTCTGGAAAGGCTGTAAGAACCGGTGGGAGGAGTGTGGGAGCCTCCTTGGCGCCCTGCATATCACGCTGCGTTGGCAAATTGCATTCTCATTCTCCCCGTCCTCCACCTCCATTCCCCGTGCCCTGTGGGGCGAGTCAGGACGTTCCAGGGGGCAGTGGTCTCTGTTCAGGCAGAAGAGGGGACGGAGCAGAGGCACAGCTCGGGGCTGTACATCAGGGTGCTTGTGCCCTACTAATCTCCCAGCTTGGCAGATGCCTGGGTGCCCCAGTTAATAGGCATGTGATAATAATGTTCATACTATTATAATGAAGAATTCTGATAACTGTTGGGTTTTGAGCAATTCACTCATGCCAGATGCTTTCTAAGCATTTCTTCACTTGACTGTGATGGTGGGCATTACTATCACCATCTTACAGATGAGAAAACAGCACAGAGGTTAAGGAATCGGCCTGGGGTCCCAGCTAGTAAGCAGCAGAGCTGGAATTGGAACTTAAACTTAGGCACACGATTTAAAGCCCCTGATCTTCTCCCGAGCAAGTGTATAATCTCTTGTTCTTATTAGGAATATGTACTACTTACCGAGTACCCCCACCCCCTACCCCCGACCTGGTTTTCCTAGTCGGGGCAGTCACAGTCCTGCCTGGGATTCTCTGCGCGGAGCTTTGTGAGCGGACCGCATGGGATCACGGGGAGGCTAACCTTGCATTTGTTTATTAGGATGTATGAACTGACCTGCTACCTACCTCAAGAAAAAGATCTGAAAATCTCTGTCTATGATTACGACACCTTTACCCGTGATGAAAAAGTGGGAGAAACCATCATTGACCTGGAAAACCGGTTCCTTTCCCGGTTTGGGTCCCACTGCGGCATCCCGGAGCAGTACTGCGTGTAAGTTGCTTTGGCCATTAATGTAGACCATTTGCTCCATCTAAACATTAACCCCAGGAAGCCTTGGCTCTCTACCTCAGCGCTGGTCTCCCTGGAGCCACTGCTCCTTTGAGTCAGACACATACTGTTTTTCATGGTAGGATTATTTTAGGGAGAATCGGGGCCATATCATTACCCAACTCCAGGGGGCGCCATTCACATTGGAGTCTATGTAAAACGCTGGCCCGGGGAGCAGAGCCTGCTCTGTGGGGATGGCATAGCGAGCAGTACTCAGGGAACTGGTCCCCTTGCTCCTGTTCTTTGAACCCCCCTCCTTGATGCCAGGCACTGAGAGCAGGCAATGTTTGGTGGCAAGAATTCCCTGCCCTTTGAAAACAAGGATTCCCTGACCCTTCCTCCCCCGTTGATCAATTTTGTGATGTCCCTCTTTCCCCAGTGCTTTTCTACAGTTTCCAATGAGATACGGCTCCTGATTTCTAGTTTACGACTTTGCCTGTTATAGTTATGGCCATCTCAAACTCATTTTTTACAGAGGAGGAAATTGAGGGGAGAAAGAGGATCAAATGGCTGAGCCCAAAATAACTGTGGATTTTAGGTCTTTGAAACAGATTTCTAGGTAAAGCCGAAGTGCAGACCACATTCCTGGCTCCCTTGTTACCTGGGCACCTGTACGTCTGTGTGTGTGGGTGAATCCAAGAAGGACCGTGTGCCCTTCAGTAACTCGGGGGTGGGATGTTATTCACAGTTCTGGAGTGAATACCTGGCGAGATCAATTGAGACCAACACAGCTGCTTAAAAATGTAGCCAGATTCAAAGGCTTCCCACCACCCGTCCTCTCCGAAGATGGAAGTAGAATCAGATATGGAGGACGAGAATACAGTTTGGATGAATTTGGTAAGCACGTTGTAAGCTGGTTACAAAGTCTAACAACCTCCTTCTATTGCTGGTTTGCTCTGGGGAGGGTTTCCGGCAGAGCAGTACCCTAATTGTACCACAGGGGACTCCACACACGACGGTCTAACAAAAGCCCCTCTATAGTAGAGTGTTGCTGTCATGTCAGGTGTCAAAGTGGACACATTTTCTTGTCTGTCTTATGTTTCACTTTGACCTTTTTAGGTCATAGCCATTCGATCTTTTACACGAAATTCTAGTAATTGACTAATTTCCATGTAATGCAAAGTGCTCAGATGGTAAAGCAAGAATTTCTCTTCCAAGTTTATGCCATCATTCTTCCAGCCCTTCTCTGGGAAGGCTCAGGGATGCATGGGGTTGGTTCAGAGAATCTGCTAAGTTCACATCTGGTTCACGTCTGGGCTTTGGGTCTTGCTCTTTCCCAAGCAGTAATTTATAACACAATCTGTCCTGACACATAAACAGCTCTCCGCATTATGATAAAGACTGAAATAAGCTTAATTTAATAGAGCATAAGAGCTACGGTATGATTCAGC